CAGGTCAAGAATAACACCAAACTACAGTTCAAAGCCAAATTTGACGCAGGCTTTAATTAGATACCAGTCAAGTTGATGGACTCTCCGGCCTGGTCCGTCCGTAACTGGCTTCCCAGAAAATGGCCACGAGTCACATCTTGCAGAGGCTTAAAAAGGCAACCCCACAAGGCCACCCTATTTCCCATCAGTCCAGTCAGGGGCAAGAATGTACCCTTACAGTTTTCCTGCCCACACACACCCCTCCCACCCCCCACCCTCACCCCCTACATCCAATCAGAGGTGAACGTACACCCTGAACATATTTCCTGCCCATGTACCTCCTGCCCACATGTGATCAAGCACACCTGGTACAGGTGCACATGGGTCAAACAAACGTGGTTAGTGGAGTGAAACATAACCAGCCTCCAGCATTTAACTGGTTCTCACAGGACCAGGAAGTGGCCAGTCATGAAGGGGAGCTGGAGGGAGTGGCATTGAGATGAGCTTTTTAGGTGGGTGGAGAAAGGAAGGAAGAAAGGAGGAAGGAAGGAGGAAGGAAGGAAGGAAGGAAGGAAGAAGGAAGGAAGGAAGGAAGGAAGAAGGAAGGAAGGAAGGAAAGGAAGGAAGAAGGAAGGAAGAAGGAAGGAAGGAAGGAAGGAAGAAGGAAGGAAGGAAGGAAGGAAGGAAGGGAGGGAGGAAGGAAGAAGGAAGGAAGGAAGGAAGAAGGAAGAAGGAAGAAGGAAGGAAGGAAGGAAGGAAGGAAGGAAGGAAGGAAGAAGGAAGGAAGGAAGGAAGGAAGGAAGGAGGAAGGAAGGAAGGAAGGCTGCTATGTACGTTCCACCCAGAGGCCAAGCAAGCTGTAGCATATTATGTTAATGCTCATATGATCTTGTGTGTGTGTTTGTGTGTGTTGTATACAAGGGTGTGTACGTGTAGATGCAAATGACCAAGAGAGGCAAGAGTTGGCACAGGCTGTCTTTATTGCTTTACACTCGTTTTTGAGAGAGTATCTCACGGAACCTGGAGCTCACAATTAAGCTAAACTGACTGGCATTCCTCCACAGCCTCTGTTTCAGTCCCTGCCCTATTTTAGTTCCTGGCTTGGCTTCCCTCAATGATCAACTATGATTAGTTGTAAGCCAAATAACCCCTTTCCCTTTCCCTTTCCCAGTTGCTTTTGGTCATGGCCTTTTTTTGAGGTGTAGGGGTGGGGCAGGGTTTGAGACAGGATTTCTCTGTGTAGCTTTGGAGCCTGTCCTGGAACTAGCTCTGTAGACCAGGCTGATCTCAAATTCACAGAGATCCACCTGCCTCTGCCTCCTGAATGCTGGGATTAAAGGATCATGGTCTTTTTCTCAGCAATAGAAAGTATACTAGAACGACCAGTGAGTCCCCATGCCTCTACTCCCACACCACCCCATGGCTGTTGGATCATACCTGGCTTTCACAGGGTTGGAAGCTCGGGCCTTCATGCTGCCTCAGCGAGCGCCTTAACATGCGGAGCCGTCTCTCAAACTCAACTCTTACACTCCCAGTGCCTCCGGGGTCTATTTTCATTATCAGAAAAGAAACTGGGGTTCACAAAGATAACTGCCCCTGGAATTAAACTTCAGAACCAGGATTGGGTTACAAAGAAACCGATTCACACAGGAAGACAATAATGGTGCTTTGCCTGGTACAACCACCAGGTGGCAGCAGGACCCTAGCCCCCATCTCTGTCCCCACGAAGGCTCTCCAAAGGGGTCCTAAACTGGCACCAGCTCTCTCCCCAGCTCCTTCTTCCTGTTACCTTCCCCTTTCCTCTGGGTAGCTGAAAGCTGATGTCTGGCTATGTCAACAGATCCTAGCCCCCAGGGTGGTCACTCCAGGGGTCTGGTTGCCCTCTGTGTGGAGCTGGTGGCTGCACTACTGTGTGAGGCTTTCCGTGATGAGGTGGGGTTCAGTTCACAGGGCCAGCAGTTCTGATGCTCACTGAGAGAAGGAGATGGGTATTAGGGTTAATGAGTTACTATAGTATGGCCTAAAAAGAGGGGGCTGGGGGAGGTAAAGCCTTCAGGGAGTCCAAATAGGCCATCAGAGGAGCCCTGCGTCCCCCGGGACTGGGTTTACCCCCTCCTTGATTGGCTTCTCTGTTTCTGGGCCAAGAGCTATCAGGGAGAATGTGGCCTCCAATAAGCAGTAAACTCTCTGTAATTGGAGTCTGTGATATAGGTCTTCTCCTTGTGGCCTCCAGGCTCCCCAGCAGCCCCACCTCTGGGACAATTCAGTCCTTCCCTCCCACTTGCTGAGCTAATGGCCACTGCTTCTTGTTCATTCCTTCCCAGCAGTCAGAGGACAGGCTCCTCCCTCCCCTGACTGAATGGGACCCTGTTGCTGGACACCCAGGCCAGGCAGCCCTAGCTCTCCCTGCATCTGCCTTTGGCTCCTTTTTGGTTACAGTCCTTAACTGTGCGTGCCTGTTAGCTTCAGCCCCTCCACCCAGGCTCTGGCGCCAGCCTCCTTGATATGAGGCTAGTTTACCAGCATCAAGTCCCATGCCCTTTGTGGACACTGGTTTCTCAGGTCACTCTACCTTGTATCAGGGTCAACAATGAGGTCACTGCCCTGGGCAAGACCGAGTAGATGACAGACAACTTTGCCAGGTGACCCAGAGAGTGAGGTAATTAGCATGCATCAGGAAGGCTATGCTGGCCTCTCCACATCTGTGGAGAGAGTTTGTGAAGAGAATGTTAGGGGAAGAGAACGATGAATCCCTGGCTTGTCCTGAGCCCCCTCTGGGCTTCTGTGGGTGATCTTCAGGGTGGAAGTATTGTGGTGAGACTGAGCCACCAGTATGGACTCCTCCCCAACTGCTGGTTCTTAGCTGGGGATGAGAGCGGTCACTCTAGGCTGTTCTATTTGTAGCCTAACCAGCCACCGGCAGCATCTTTCTGTCTAGCCTCAGAGCTGTTGTCAGCCCCACACACCCACACCCACCCCACACACACTGAAAGCCTGGCTGTGAATCTCTCAGCCACTCCCCATTCTCACTTTCCCAAGGAAATTTACTGAGCTCAGGCTGCCAGGCTCCAGGACATCAGAGGGCTTCAGAAGGCTTCAGATCCCCCACCTGTATGACGGGTATATGTTAAGTAAATGCCCCCACATCCTTAAAGTCACACATTCCTACACAGGAATTCCTTCCTCACCTATGCCCAGGAACTGGGGACAGCCTGGCTGCAGAGCGCTTTAGGCTACTGGTCAACCACGTGATAGGAAGCCTCCCCTCCCCCTCCTTTGAGACCTAGAAATAGGGACACAGGCCTGAACTCTTATCATATCCCCGTGGTATACTCTCTGTTTACCGGTGGCCTTGGGGCCTATACTCACACTGGAGCCTCCACCATGCTGCTGTCTGTCTGTCTGAGACATTAATGAATCTCTTGCCTGAAAGAACAGTTGTGCTTCAGTGTCCTCCTTGAACTCCAAATTCAAAACCTTTCAGTGCTTTAAGAGAAACCAGAGACTGCACGAGTCTGTCTGAGGCAAACAACATTGCAAACCCAGGGTCCCTTTGGGAAGAGAGAAAGAAATAATCTAGCCAGACCCCGGTGGGGCACAGCCTATCAGGCCTGGAAATCCACCAGGGTCACATGCGCTTGTGCCTTGGCTTCCAAAGACAAAACTGAGGGTGCGAGTCCATTTTGGGCCAAGAGAGATAAGAAAGCAAACAGAGCCTAAGGGGACTTTCAAACAGCCCCTTACTTAGGTGTCAGGACCAGGATGTCTGCCTGAAGTGTATACGCATCCACAGGACCCAGAGAAGTAGGGTCTGGGTACCTCTGTTCTGTATTGGAAAGAGCCATGTATCAAGCAAATTGGACAAAGCCCCTGCATACATTATCAGACTTAGGTTCTGGTACCTTCCCACCACAGCAGCCCCAGCCCCAGCCCCAGCAACTTTTCTGAGGCGTAAAAACCAGGGAGAGCATGTAGGTAATTGTACCCAGATTGATTCCCAGAGCTCCCCACACAGTGCTGCTCCGTCACCCCACCTCAAGCCTGTTTTCCTGCCCTGTCCAATTTTAGGGGTTCCTCTGTTGAGAAGGCCTCTCTCTCCCTTCCATAAACTCCCGTCCCACTTGATAGGCTGTTTGCATCCTGTGTAGGTGGCTTTTGTGCTTTGTCCTGCATCTATTAGAAATCTGTGAGCTCCCCGAGGTAGCAGGGAGCTTGGCTCAGTTCCTCTGCACAGAGCAGAACATTGGATCTCTGCTGGGCACAGAGGAGGCTCCGTCGATGCTTGGGCCAAGGTGGCTACCTTGACACAGAGGATGGGATTGGGGGATCACAGAGTCCTGGTGGGAAATACCCAAGGAAGCTGGGGTTGGACCATGGCCAGCTGCCCTCTGGACCTCAGAGCCCTGCTGTGGCCTGTTCTGTGCTGTGTCAGTGCAAACCAGGAGTGACATCAGGAGGGCAAGGTTACTGCAGGGTAAGGCAAGGCGGGGACAGTGGGCTGGCTACCCACGCTCCTGTGGCAGCTAAGGCTCCAGGAAAAGCACCTGGAAGCATTTGGGGAGGGGAAGGGGGTGGAGATGGCAAGATTCCACCTGGTGGAAGGGTAGCAAAGGCTGGAATCTGTTTCTTGCACCTAAGGGGGGAAAGGAGGTACTGGTTCACGGTTCAGAATGGCCAGCATCTCCTTCACTCTTGGTTGCTACCAGAAACCACCTCTTTCTAACCACAAAGACAGAGGGGCACAGCCCTTCTTTGTCCCTCAAACTAAGACAGGGCAAGGACATTCCTTTCCATGGATTAACTTGTTACTGGAGGCCCAGAGCCTGTGTCGACCTGCTCTCTGTGTCTGGCCACACACTCAGGCTGGCTCTGAAGTGGGGGACGAGCCCTGGCAGGTATGCTCAGGAGGGAGGGAGTGACCTGGGGCCTGGGCAGAGAGGGTCAGGCCACCACAGAAAATGACACCAGTGGCCCTATTCTGAGACCTTTGTTCCCAGGACTGAGCTACACAGGCTGTCAGCCCTTGATCACACACTCTGCTCCTGAGACGTTAGCTGTCCCAGTCACACTCCCACTGGTCTACAGAGCTAGACCAGAGCCCAGAGATAGTGGTTACAGCCTAGCAGGGATCATCCCCCCAACCTCCAAACTTACGCTGCAAAAATGTCCATGTGCAAGATGGACACACACGCACACATATACATACACACACAAACACACACACATACACACACAAACACACACACATACACACACAAACACACACACATACACACACAATCACACACTGTGTACACACATATACACACATACTCACATACACATACAAACATACACACTGTACACACATACACAAACACACAGTGCGCACACACACATACTCATATACAACACAAACACACACACTGTGCACACACACAAACATACCCACATACATATACACACATGCAAACACACACACACACACACACACACACACACACACAGTGAACATACTCCAGTTCTGTACTGCTGAACAGGGCAGAAGAGGAGACATGGATGGAAGTGACAGGGATATTGGGGACAGCTCCTTGTCATATGTGGACAGACACATGACTGTCTACCGTGGGCTTGGACAAGTTCAAGGCCCTCCTCATCACTAGGACCACATAGTGAAGACCATACTCTCTAGTCCAGGGCCTGCACCAAGGGTACTTCTTTTTTTAATTAAAAAAAAATTGTTTCATGTGCGTCAGTGTTTTACCTGCATGTGTGTCTGTGTGAGGGCGTCAGATCCCCTGGAACTGGAGTTACAGACAGTTGTGAGCTGCCATGTAGGTGCTGGGAATAGAACCCAGGTCTTCCCAGTGTAGTGTCACAGTGCATTCCCTTTTCCTCTGCTGGACTCTGAACTCTCAGGTCTAACTCCAATGGCTCTTTGGGATGTCACACTGCCTCGTACTCCAGAAAGTCATCCTGCTTCTCTCAGGCTGGTCTGACCTGTGTCTTTACCCAAGTTTTGATGACATCCAAGTTGAGCTCTGTCTGCTGGAGATGTGGAGGTTTCCAACAAATGGGACCCGCTGAGGGTCCCCCAACCTGGAACATATGCTGAATGGGTGGGTGCTCCAGGAACAGGGACCTCATGGCTTGTTTTGTCCCATCTCCTCCAGAGGCCTCCTGCCTGTTGCCTGGGCAGCGGGAGATGAGGCCTTCATGCCATCTCTTCCAGACGTATGTATGCTTCCTGGGAGTTAGCTTGGACCACTGAACAGGGAAAAGCCCACAGCCCCAGAGGTCTGTATTCCTTCTTCTGTGCCTCCCCCATGCCCAGGACTGACCCTGGCAGGAGCAGTGATATTTCCACCTCTCCCTCCCCACTGTGCCCTCTGCCACTAGAAAGCCTGAGAGGTCTGGGGTGACGATGAGGGCAGTTTCTACAGCTCTGACCTATGGTCCCAATGCATGAGACCATGCTTAGTGTGGATGGGAGATCTGTGGGGCTGGTTGCATAACACTGGCCTCAGTGTGCTTGTTTATTGAACAAACTGACACTTAATCTCAGCATCTGCTGGAGCTGAAGTGACACTGACTGAAAGGAAATATTTTAAAGACATAGTTTCTACATGGCATAATTCTATCTATTAAAGGCACACACAGCTTCAATGGCATCTAGTATATTCACAAAGTTAATCACAACAGTCAATTTTAATATGTTCATTATCCCCCAAGGATGCCCTATATTTCTTAGTCATAAACCCTCCTCCACTACTCTTCAAGCCAGAGATGCTGGTTCATGTCTGCAATCCAAGCTGAGGCAGGAGGAATGCCATGAGATCAAATTCAGTCTGGGCTGCAATAACGAGTTCCAGGCAAGGGTAAAAGTCTCTAAAGCAAACAAACAAATAACAGAGACCTGGAGCTGTAGCTCAGTTGATAGAATGCTTGCCCAACATGACCCAAGTCCTCAGTTTGGTTCACACAAGCCAGGAAAGATGGTCCAAACCTGTATTCTTGGCACTTGGGAGATAGATGAAAGAGAACCAGAAGTTTGAAGTCTTCCTTGGCTACATAGGGGGTTCACAGACAGCCAGAGGTGCATGAGACCCTGTTTCAAAAATAAAATAAAAAGTAGACTTAAAATAATAATAATAGTAGTAGTAGTAATAACAGGGCCAGCAAGATAACTCAGTGGATGAAGACATTTGCTGTCAATCCTGATCTGAGATCTGAGTTCAGTCCCTGGGACCTATAGGATAGGAGAAGAGAACTGACTCCCTCGGGTTGTCCTCTAGCATCCAAGTGTTCCATGGCACCTGTGCACGCATACACAAGTAAACATACAGACAATTGAGTAAGTAAATATAATTAAAAATTACAACAACAATAATAAAGATAGAGGTTTAACTGCCCAAGACATTTTACATTAACAGGTCATGCAACGTGCAGTCTTCAGCAACTGGCTTCTTTCACTTGGCATTCTATTTCTATCTTCCTTTATGCTATAGCATGTACTTCCTTTTTCTCTTTTCCAATAGTATTCCACTGTGGGTGTTAGATCAAGGAGCTGCCTGATAGAGGAATCGTCCACACCTTGCATCTCTAGTACGCTCCCTAAATTGCTGAAGTCCTAACTTGTGCAGCCTGAGGTAGGTTGGAACAGTAGAATTAGCTTATACAGGCTCACACTATGTAGAATGCAGACCAGGCTAGCATTGAACTCTAACCCTGAGTGCTGGATTAAAGCTATGTACCACCATGCCCAGCCCAGGATTAACTTCTTACATCATGACCTTGGAGCTGGAGAGATGGCCCAGTGGGTAAGAGCACTTGTCCCTCCGGTGGAGGACCTGGGTTTGGTTCTCAACACCCACAGGGAAACTTACAATAATCTGTAACTCCAGTCCCAGGGAATTTGCTGCTCTTTTCTGGCTTCTGAGGGCATTGCACACATGTTGCACAGATATACAGGCAGTCAAAACAGCCATACACATAAAATAACAATAAATAAATCCTTAAAAAACAAATATGGCCTTATACCCTAGTCAGTACCTTCAGTAATCTGCTAAACCCAGAGCTCTCTACCCTCTGAGCTCAAAGATCTCTTGTGATGTCTATAAATGTATAAGGATTTTTCTTTGTTCTTCAGGCTGCCAAGTGTCTACCCAGCTCCCCCTGCTGTGAGTGGCTGGCACTGTCAAAGGGCTTAACTGCTTGGAAACCATCTCCCTGGAAATATTGTTTTTAACTTCATATGCATGGATGTTTTGCTTGCATATATGTCTGAGTACCATGTGTGTCCCTGGTGCCTGAGGAGGCCAGGCAGGGCACTGGATCCCCTGGAACTGGAGTTACAGATGTTTGTAAAGTTGCCGTGTGGGTGCTGGGAATCCAACCCTGGTGTCCTGGGAGACTGACAGTGCTCTTAACTCCTGAGCCATCTCTCTAGCTCATGAAAAGAACCTTCAGTGTTGGTTGTGCATGGTGGCCCATGCCTTTCAGCCCAGCACACAGACACTTGGGAAGCAGAGGCAGGAAGAACTGAGTTTGCGGATACCCTGGCCTACTTGTGACTTCCAGGCCAACCAGAGCCATATAGTGAAACCCTATCTCGAAAACAAAACCCTTAATCTGTAAAACAGTGTCAGGGGAACCCTTGTCCTTTCCTTACTCGATCTTTAGGCAGTGGAGAGAGCTTTTTCTGTTTCCAGTTTTGGCTGCTGTGAACATGTATGTACATGTATTCCTGCAGTATGGACATCTGTATGAACATGTATGTACGTGTGTTTCTGCAGTAGTGACATCTGTATGAACATGTATGTGCATGTATTCCTGCGGTGTGGACATGTGTTCATTTCTCTTATGTATATACATAGCAGTGACTGTTTCGCCAGAGCGGAGTGAGGAAAAGTTGGGAAAACAGAGGGTTGCTCTTGGACGTGGGTAGGATTTGTGGTGATTCTACCTGGTGGCTGAGATCGAGTGCAGACATTGCTATGCGTGTAGCTTGGTAAAGGTTTAAGCTGTGTGAAGCAGGAATGGGAACTGAGGCCTGAGGATGACGTTCAGTAACCTCACAGTGCTTTGAATCCAGAATGCAGGGGCCTGGATGCAGCAGTTACAACTTTCTCAATACAATGTTCAACAGCCCAAGCAGCCTTTCCTAGTGAATAGTTCTGTCTCCCTCTTCCAGCTGAAGGAGTCAAAGTTCACAGAATAAATTGTCCCAAGTTAGGCTGGAATCTGGTAAATTTCAAAACAACTTATTTTCCCTTCCTTTCTACTACATGGCTTAACTTTGTTGAGAGTAGATAAAAATATATGTTCATGTCCCGCTTGTGAATTCTGTCACAGTGTGAACACACTTCGGCATCACCAGAGATGATTTGTTTTGTCTGAGACAAGGTCTTCTGTATTCTGTGTTAGACTCAAACTCCTCACCTAGCTGAAGTGGGTCTTGAACTTCTAATCCTCCTGCCTCTATTTCCCAAGTGCTGGAATTACATGTATGGACTACCATGTGTGGCTCAGATAGACACTGTTGTTATTTAAATTCATTATGTGACTCTGTGTGTGTGTCTGTGTATGTGTTTGTGTTTGTGTGTGTATCTGGGTCTCTGTGTGTCTGTGAGTATGTTTGTGTGTGTGCCCTTATGTGTGTGTGCGTTTGTGTCTATGTGTCTGTGTGTGTATCTGTATATATGTGTATGTGTCTATCTATATGTGTGTGTCTGTGTGTGTATGTTTTTGTGTGTGTCTGAGCATGTGTATCTGTGCATGTGTGTCTGTGTGTGTCTGTCTGTGCCTGTGGCTGTGTGTAGCTGGGTATATGTCTGTGCTGTCTGGTTTACGTGGTGGTGGGCACTGGGTACTGAGCACACTGCTTTGTGTGTGTAGCCCTGAGATGAATATTTTAAAACTGCTGATGGGAGAATAAACTAATTTACAAACACAACATTATTTGTACTGAAAACAAACCCTAGATCAATATTATACTTATAAATGACAAGTGTAAACTATGACATAGCTATAGCACATATATTGCATAGTTCTGCAATGTTTACTGCATATGCTTGTGTGACAATTCAATAGGCTGGGGTGTAGCTCACTGGTAGAACACTTGCCTAGGATATTCTAGATTTGATTCTCCAGCTCCATGAAGAACATCTCTCTAATGGGCTGGCAAGAAGTATCAGCAGATAATGGCATCTCCTGTTAAACCTAATGACCGGAGTTTGATACCCATGCCCCACTTGGCGGAAGGAGGGAATCAGTCCCACAGGCTTGACCTGCACAGGTGAGCTCTCTCTCTCTCTCTCTCTCTCTCTCTCTCTCTCTCTCTCTCTCTCACACACACACACACACACACACACACACAGAGAGAGAGAGAGAGAGAGAGAGAGAGAGAGAGAGAGAGAGAGGGAACGTGAGAGATGTGGTGGTTCCCACCTTTAATCCTTTAATCCCAATACTGGAGGGAGGAGAGGCAGCAAGCAGATCGTATGAGTTCAGGGCCAGCCTGGTCTACATAGCAAAAATAAAAAATAAAAAAATGGAAAACTCATCTTATTTTTTTCTCAATATTGAATATTGTCATGTCTTTCATAGTAACAAATTACATTAATTGATACTTTTAAAATAATCAATAAAGTCAAATATTTGATGGTTATTTATAGATTATAATTCTTCTATCATGAGCTCCTATTCAGTCCCTTTACTTTTAATCATTTTGAGTTTTTTGTCAGTCTATACCAGCCCTTTAAAAAGACTGATAATTTCCCCCTTTTGTAACTGTTAGGACAATTTGCTCTCTTATGATGAAGCAAATATATAGTCCCAGCTAGAATCCCAACTCTGGCAATGGCCATTTGGTGGGTTTATTGAGTCTGGAGCCTCTGCTGGGAGGTGATCTCTGCTCTAAGGGAAACCAGTTTCCTAGTTAGAGAAATAGAATGAAATGGTCTCATGTGATCAACGGAAGGCAGTTCTTTCCCTGTAATGGGGGCTTCCATGGTTTTTGTGTCAAGAGAGGATGGCCTGGTGGGTGAAACAGACACACCTTTCAACTCTGGATCATGTGCTAGTCCAGCTCATTTCAACAGCCGTGGCAAGTTTTCAAGACTGTGGGTGAGGGATGCTTATCTAATATCATCCTCTTCAGAATACCCCTCTGGGTCAATTGAGTCACCATGTGCTTTGTGGGACAGGGGCACCCAGAGTGATGGCAGGGACCCAGGAGAGGCTTTCCAAGCATGTAGTTTTTGCACTCCTAGCCCTGCCCTGAATCTTGTCTGAATAAATGCAAGCAGACTGCTTGAGAAGGCCTGAATGGGTGGCCTTCTGGCTATTGTCTGCTTGTTTACTGAAGATGGCTAAGTAGGGACTTTTTTTTTTTCTTGTTCTCTTTTCAATTTCTTGGAATTTCAAAACTGTCATGGTACCTACAAGAAAAGTTCTAACGCCTAGCTCTATCTTTCCTGCTTATTTTGTACTCCCACTCATTTATACAAAAACATTTGCTGAATTATATATACACATACATGAATATATATATATATATATATATATATATAGAGAGAGAGAGAGAGAGAGAGAGAGAGAGAGAGAGTTGTTTTTTGTTTCAGAGAGACAGGGTTTATACCCTGGAACTTGCTTTGTAGAGCAGGTTGGCTTTGATCTGTTCTGTGATTAAAGGCATACACCAACAACAACAACCAGCTAATTTTTTTATTTATTTAGAGAAAGGGCCTCACTTCGTAGCTCTGGCTGGCCTAGAACTCAGAGATCTCTTTGCTTCTGCCTCCTGAGTGCTGGAGCTAAAGGAACGTGCCATGGATTGTAAATTATATTGTAAAGAAGCTGGAGACATGATGGCTCACCAGTTAAAAGCCCCTATTGCTTGGCAGAGGAGGAGTTCAGCTCCCAGCACACATGTCAGACGGCTCACAACCACCTGTAACGCCAGCTCCAGGGAATCTCATACCTCTGCCCACACATGTAACCCACACAGAGACAAAAAAAAATTAAAATTAACCTTTAAAATACATACCATAAACAAATCGCATCTATTTATACATTCTGACTTGTCACGGACCTATAATTCCTGATGCCAGCTCTTGTGCTTTTCCCACAGTATTTTCCTAGCATGCAATCTCATCTTATGCTCAATTGGAAGTGCTCCCGAGGCTTGTAGTGGGTGTCACAGTTACAGGAATATTATCATTAGCGAAAGGGATAAATCAATCCCCACTCTGTCTTGGTTATCAACATGAAACCCTCTCTCCCTCGCACCCCGCTTTTTCCAGGCTCCCAACACTTTCTCTCCAGCATGGCAGCCTGTTTTTGGAGAGAGATAGTCGGGCTCCTATACTGCACCTTGTCTTGGTGGTGGGCCTGCCCTTGCCTTTTCTGGCAATCAATGTCACAGCAGTTTGGTTCAGGTAACATTCCCAGATCTGGGTGATAATTCCCAGAGGAACCTGACTGCTGTTGTCAAACAGGTCTATGTGATCCTGGCTGGCCTACTACTCACTATGTAAAGTAGGCATGGTAGTGCAGGCCTTTAAACCCAGAACTCAGAAGGCAGAAGAGGTGGATCTCTGAATTTGAGGCCAGCCTAGACTACAAGCAGAATTCCAAGACAATGAGAGCTAAGTCGAGAAGCTGTGTCTGGAAAAGAAAACAAACAAGAGAGCTCACTGTGTAGAGGTAGCCTAGAACTCAGAGATCCGCCCGCCTGCCTCTCTCTGCCTTTGGGGGGGGGGGGGACTAAAGGCGTGGGCTCCCACGCTGGGAGGAACCTGACTTTAAAATAGATTGATGAAGCAGCTACTCCTTTTCTACTCAATTTCTAGCTCCACCACAAACTTGCTAAGCATGGAGGCTGGTAACTTCATCTCTCTTTGTCTCACTCCCTCTTTAAAAAGAGCAGGGAGCTGGGTGTGGCGGTGGCACGCCTTTACTCCCAACATTTAAAGGTGGACACAGATCTCTGAGAACTGAAAGCCATCTTGGTCTACAAAGCGAGTTCCTGGACAGTCGGAGCTACAGAGATCCTGTCTAAAAAGAAACCAGTCATCATCATCATCACCAAGGAGTACCCACTGCTCAGGGTCACAGTGTGGGCTCAACAAAATGTTTCTTGTGCTTAGTTGTTAGGGATCGCTGAATACCTGTTTGCTGCACTTGCAGGCCCTTTGGCTTGTAGCAGAGTGAATGTATCTGTGTGAATACACCTCGTTTGTTAGTCCATTTCCCTGAAAGATCCCCAAATTCCAACCTGAGGATCAAAGACTCTCAAACATCCCGCTCCGTAGGTGGGGATAGGATTGGGCTCCTGCTCCCGGCAGAGGCGGTCCCCTGAAGAGTGCGACCAATGAATGAGCGCAGTGCTGTATCTCACTATGCCTGTGAGCTCTCTGCACCCAAGATCGCAGTGTCTGAAGTTAGCATCCCGGTGCTGGCGGGCGAGTTAAACCATAGTTTTCCCCGGTCAGAGCCGTGGGCGCTAGACATCCACAGGCCGGTCGCACCCTCCCGCCCCAGTAGTCTCTCGGGTGGAGACCAGTTTCCTCTTTGCAAGAGTGTGGAAACCGGGGTGGGCGTGAAGTTGAGCCGACTTGTGAGTGGCGGTAGCCACCGTGACTTCCTTACTTCTCCCATTGCAGTTTCCCCAGTGAGCCGTTCGCTAAGCGCCGCGAGGCGCTGGGCATGTACACAACCTCTACAGAGGAGCAAGTTCTCCTCCTCTTCTTAAAGAAAAGTCACTCATCAGCCCACCGCAAAGAGCATAAGGAGAAAAAGAGGGGAGGGGGTGAGACAGGAGCTAGTAGCAGAGGGAACAGCAGATTGCGCCGAGCCAATGGAAAAGGCTCGACGAGGTGGCACCAAATTCTCTTTGGCCAATGACTAGACAGTCTTAGCAGGAGGCGCATTAGCATTTGCCCCGAGGCAGGGGGTTGGAGCAGCGCGTTGTAGAAGCCTTTAGCATCCCGGCGCCTCGGAGGTCTACTCCGGAATCTACTTGGCTTTCTTTCCCCTCCTTAGTCCCTCCCTCTCTCACCTCCACGCCTGGCTTCCTTGGCTAGCTTGCCCTGCGCACTTTGCCCTTTGCTGGCAGCGGATAAAAGGGGTCTGAGGAAAGACCAAACACCGTCATCCTATCGCCTGCTCTCCCCTTTAAATTGCCAGCCCGGGAAGATCTGCGCACAACCAGGTCGGGCTGAACACCCATCCCGCGGAACAGGAGCGCAGGTTTCCAACCCCAGCTCGGCCAATCGCCCGCACCAGCGGGCTCCGGAACCGAAGTCCACGCTCGGTCTCGGCGCTGGGACAGTGAGGCCAGCAGCCGGCAGCCACGATGCCTGCCCACATGCTCCAAGAGGTGAGCGTGCAGAAGCGGCCCCCGCCCCGCGCGTCGGCCACGCGGACTGGGCTTCTAGCTAACTGGGTCCGCGGAGGAGAGAGTTGGGAGTTCTCAGGACTGCTTGGTTTGCTCGAATTCTAGGGCGACCAGTCGTTTGAGAGGTGTGGACTGTAATTCGGGCAGTTGGGTCTCAACTTTTCGCGTCTTAAGCTTTAAAGTAAAGAAAAGCCAGCCGTGCGGATACTTGTTTGTTACTTTGTGTGTTACTAGGGGTGCGAATGTTTCACTCTTATTCCCTACTGGTCCTTCACCTTGAGGTTTTGCCCCACTCCCCGCAACAAATCTGCACAGTTTCTGGAAACTTCTGCTCTATCTCGGAGTACATCTCGCCCTCATGCAAACTGAGCTCTGGGGCTGGCTCTGTGCCTTTACTGTACCTTTCGCTGCACTAGTGTGAGGAAAGTGGCACCCCACCCCCACCCCGCGCAGTCCTCCACAGATCTGCCCCCCTGACTGCTCTTGTCTTTGTAGATCTCCCCCTCCTACACGACCACCACCACCATCACAGCGCCTCCCTCCGGAAGCCTGCAGAATGGACGGGAGAAGCAGAAGACGGTGCCCCTCTACCTGGAAGAAGACATCCGCCCTGAAATGAAAGAAGATATATACGACCCCAGCTACCAGGATGAGGAGGGGGCCCCGCCCAAGCTGGAGTACGTCTGGAGAAACATCATCCTCATGGCCCTGCTGCACTTGGGGGCCCTGTATGGGCTTGTGCTAGATCTACACCTGCCTCTTCGGTGAGCAGCTCCCCTCGTCTTGGTTTCTCTTTGTTTTTTAATGAGGCAGTGAGTGGCCCCTCTTTCCAATTTCCCCAGCCTTTTCTCAGGTCCTGGGAGCGGAGCCTTGCGGGACTGGGTGTCGCTTAACATGAATTCTGAGTCCCTGAGCAGGGGGCTTGGAGGAGTCTCCCTGAGGCAGAGAAGCAACTTTCTCTGAACAAGCTTGTCCGTGCGAGTCACTTGCTCGGCTGGCTGTTTATCCCATGAGCACATGACTCAGGAGAAACGCGTCCTACCTGGGAGGCATGGGAATCAGGGCTAGACCTGGGGCCTTGTGAGCTACTGGTATGCCAGAGCAGGAAACAGAGCCTGGAGAGGTCCTTGAAAAGAAAAAAAAGGGGGTGTGGTGGTATTTACACAACTTTTCTGACCCCAACCCCTGACCAGATCAAGCTGGTTTGTCCTAGAGGAAGGTGATATAGGCTTCTACAACACCCAAGTATACAGGTGTTGTGGCTCAGCCACTCCGTGAGGCAGCACCTGCCAATCAACAAGATATTAAAAGAATGGAATAAGGTTCACATTCATCCAATCCCCTCATCTAGCCTGCTCCTGCCCTGTCTCCTGAGACCCTACGAGCCAAGAACCCAAAATTTTCTAATAGAACCTTCATCAGCCCCAGCCTTAATTCAGCCCCTCCGGGATTCACTGGGTGTAGGCTGGTGGCAAAGACACCTCTAGGATACCTGTTCACTTTCCATGTGTTTTCGGCTATGAAACCTGAATCAGGAAGAGGAGAGGGCCACTTGCTGCCCTCTGAGGGACCGTGTGGAAGTTTCTCTGGAGCAGTGTCTGGTATGGATACTCTGCTCCTGCAGAGGGTAAGGGTGTTAAAGGGATGGCTAGTCAAGTATTGGTTCTCCCTGCCTTGGGCCAGTTAGCTCCTCTGAGCACTTAGATCTGGTCTTGGGAGCTTCATCCTAGAATTTCCCATGCCATACCTTTAGTCCCAGCACTTGGGAGGCAGAGGCAGGTGAATCTCTGTGAGTTCAAGACCAGCCTGGTCTACAAAGTGAGTACCAGGACAAGCTCCAAAGCTGCACAGAGAAACCCTGTCTCAGGAAAGAAAAAAAAAAAAATTCTCCAGATGCCCTAGATCCAAGAGGATCCTCTTTCTTGGGACCACAGTTTTTCCAAGTACCAAGTAGGGCAGCAATGCCTTGCCAGGGTTGGGAAGGTCGTGTTGCTTGGGTTAGCTGCACCACTTCCCAGCCTTTCTCTTGAGGCAGGTATTTCCAGAGCCTTTTATTCCCTAACTCTACAAGAGGACACAGTTCTGAAGAGATCTTTGATAACGATCAGGACCAAAGAATCTGCTCCCCCCCCCCCCCCCCCCCCGCCCCTTCCACCTCCCCACCCCCCCCGCCGGTGTGCACCACCATGGTCAGGTTCCAACCATTTTCTTTGTTTTTTGTTTGTTTGTTTTTTGTTGGTGGTTTTTTTGTTTGGTTTTGTTTTTTGTTTTTGTTTTTGTTTTTCGAGACAGGGTTTCCTCTGTATAGCCCTAGCTGTCCTGGAACTAGCTAGCTCTTGTAGACCAGGCTTTCCTTGAACTCATAGAGACCCAACTGCCTCTGCTTCCCGAGTGCTGGGGTTAAAGGCCTGTGCCACCACTGCCCGGCTCCAACCATTTTTTTAAGACAACTCTTAAGCTGTTTGTTTGCCACCAGGTGGGCACAATAGCCCCATGGTGGATGGGGAGGTCATCTGAGTGCCTTGAGCCATCTACCTGGATTCACTGAGAGGTTTGAGTAGAAGAATATGTTTCAGAGTGACTGGGTTCTTGTCCCAATACCCTTATTTATGTGTGGATATTATATGTGGTCCAGACTGTGCCTGGGCCATCTACAGCATGAAACCAAGATGGATGCTTCCTTAGTGCAAAACTGAGGGCTTTTATGTTGCCCCAAACCTTTTCTTTCCTCCTCTTGATTGCTAGTGGTTCTCCGGTGCTCTCTGGTATATTGTGGTCACATCTTGTACATGGGGCAGTCAGATTGCCATATGACCGTGAGGAGCGAGCATCTGGTGCTACAATCCCAGCTCAGAGAGAATGTGGCTAGGACTTTGCTTAGGGACAGACTGTGGCTTGCAAGTATTTTGTAAGAGGAAAAAGGGGGTGTGCAGGAAACTGCTTAGGAAATTGCCATCTGCTACAGAAGGACGTGGGACAGTTTGTACAGCATGTAGTCTCTCTCCACTGCATCTAAGGTCAATGGCCACTGAGGCTCCATTGTTGCTGCGGCCCCCTAGGGTAGTGTCTACCAAGGACTCTGCCCCAGCATTCTAGTACTGGCCAGAGAAGAACTGGATACACACGACGGCATCTCCCTCCCCATTGGAGATCAAATTTAGTACTTGTAAGCCTACAGGCCTAGAAGATGATGAAGCAGAAAGATGTTCTGATGTTGGACTCCTATTTGACTAGTTGTGTGACCGTGCTTATACCTACCCTCTCTTGATCTTACTTCCTTAATTATAAAGTATAGGAGTTTTGTGGTGTTTTGTTTGTTTTCGAGACAGGGTTTCTCTGTGTAGCTCTGGGTGTTCTAGAACTCTACAAACCAGGCTGGGCTCAAACTCAGGAATCTGCTGAAGTTCTGGGTTTAAAGGTGTGTACCACCATAGCCCGGTAAAGTAAAGGATTAATGGCACCCACTCTGTTCAAAGTGTATAGTGAATATGAGAATCTTGAGGTCACTGGCAAAGCTTAGGACACTGCAAATACGACTTTTCAGAGCTGTTTTATGTGGCCACAGTTCCTTCCCATTCAAATGTGACTGTATCAGCTGCATCACTTGGGGGTTCTCTGACTGGTCAGTATTCAGAGTGGTGTGGCTGCTGTGTTCACAACACTCTTGCTTATCCTGAGCTCTGCTGGAAGAGTTTGCAGCTCTGCCCATTTGAGTGGCAATAGCTATTAGGCCTCAGAGACAAAAGGGATTCTTAGAGTTCAGTAGAAAACACCCTTAGCCAAAACCCAAATACAAACACTGGCATCAGGGAAGCCTTCTTGACTACTTCCACTGTTGAAATTTGGCTGTTGGTGACTCCCTGCACTGTCTTGTCTTGCAGGGATTATGTACTATGTCATCAGTGCCTTGGGCATCACCGCCGGGGCGCACCGCCTGTGGAGCCACCGAACTTACAAGGCTCGGCTGCCCCTGAGGGTCTTCCTCATCATTGCCAACACCATGGCTTTTCAGGTGAGAAGCTGGTTCTGTTAGCTGTCTCCACCCCAGATGATCTGGGGTGGCATCTAGAGAAGAATTCTTAGGTCCACCATTGATTGCCCTTTTTGGTTTCCAGGGCTTACAGGTTCAGTGCTTAGGTTATTGGGAGGATAAGTGGGAGGCAAATAGAAAAGGCTGTCCAGGTTGGGCCACTTTTGATTTCAGGGCCACTATGGTGTTGCACAGTATATTTGTTGTGGGTTGTCTGCCTAAAGAGCCATGCTGCATAGTCTGTGCCCTGGCTCTGGTTTCCTGCACTCTTACTGGGAAGTAAACTTTCTTTACTGTGACTATCTTGGAATGTCACCACAACAGCACTGATGGCCATGTGACACAGAATTGGGATCTGTATTCCAGTGCTGACTGTGCTGGGCACTACTTGTTATCAGTTAACTCATTAAGTTCTCACACACATATTGGTGGATATTGTTACTATCACACAGTTTTGGTTTTTTGAGATAGGATCTCACTGTGTGGCAGTGGCTGGCCTGGAACTCACTATGTAGACCAGGCTGGCCTCTGCCTTCCCTATACTGGGATTAAAGGTATGTGCCACCACTCCAGGCCAATTATTGTACTTTACAGATGAGGAACTGAGTCTGGAAGGCTGACTGACCAACCTTGTTCTAGTTGAGGCTGCTGGGTTGGCCAGGTCACATACTGCAGTTGGTTTATAGCAAATGAGGAGGGTTTGAGGAGAAACAGTGGGCACAGGATGACTTGTCATGTGGAGACTACAATAGAAAAACAGGGAATCAAATTAGTCCTATTTATTGACAATATGTGAAGTGTTTCCCACATGTCCAAGAGGCCCTCGGGAAATGTGCCTATGCTCATTAGTTACATGCTGGCCTTACAACTAGCTTAGGTGGGCTGTCACTTGTGAAAGCATCAGGGTGGCATGCCCTGCATCCTTTCTCCGGAGTGACTCCCTGGCATCCAAGGCCACCTGCCTCCTGGTGTCTGCCCCCACTTTCCCACATTCCTTTCTGCAAGAACTGCAGTGTTCTTTGTGAGTGCTGTGACTTTGCTTCTCCCCCACGCACAGCCTTCAGTGTGCTCTGGGACTTCCACAGATAAGCTTCAGGAACAAGTGTACAAAAAGAGCAGCGCCCCGCCCCACCCCACCCCTGGCTCTCTTTGGAGCTAAAGTCTTACGGGCTTTGTAAATTGGACTCGGAGTCCCAGGCCCTTGAAGATATCTGAGTACTGGATTCCCCCAGGAGGATGTCTCTCAATACTGGGGTCCTCTTTCCTGTCCCTCCAGAATGACGTGTATGAATGGGCCCGAGACCACCGCGCGCACCACAAATTCTCAGAAACACACGCTGACCCTCACAATTCCCGCCGTGGCTTTTTCTGCGCGCGCGTGGGCTGGCTGCTTGTGCGCAAACACCCGGCTGTCAAAGAGAAGGGCGGAAAACTGGACATGTCTGACCTAAAAGCCGAGAAGCTGGTCATGTTCCAGAGGAGGTGAGTGAGGTGGGGGTTGGGGTGGATCTGGAAGAACATGGGACTTGGGGATTCTACCTTTTCTCTTAGGGCTTATAAAATAATAACCGGGTTATTTACTGTGTTGGTAACTTCAAAATCATTTAAATCTCCAATTCAGCAATCCAACAGGCTCACAGCCATCATTTATTGCTCTGTTTCTGCCCAAGCATTTTAACAAAACCAAGAACTCTATCAGTCCTAGCCTGGTACACACAGCTAGGTGTTTACCTTCAAGGAATTTTCAGCCTATTTGGGGCTGAAGGAATGAGCCTCAATTATCACCACATAAGGCAGAATAATACTGTGTTTACCATGATTAAGTACAAGGAGGAAATACAGCTCAGTGGATATACAATGGAGGGGAGCCCTTAGTATCAGGATCCAGACAAAGATCCAGGCTCTGTCAGAGTGGTGGGCAGGGCCAGTGCAACAGAATGCCGAAGCATTTCCTGAAATACAGTCCTCCTCTGAAATGCAGCATGTGACAGGAACAGGGCTGCAAGGACAGGCTCGGAATCAATATTAATTCAGCCAGTTTTGGGGGATCACTGAGACATTCTCTGGCAGCATTGGGAACAGTCAGGTGGGCTTTGGAGAAGCCACGTTCAAGACAGGTGACACTAATCATGGATCCAGGCATGTGATGGGCAGGGTCATAGGTTACACCCCAGGGAAGTCTCAAGGTAGGGAAGTAGTGACCAGAATGGAAAGGAACTAGACTGAGGGAATATCAGTGGCACAGAAGTAATAGACGTAACTGCCGAGGGCAGTTGGTCCCCTTGGATGTCACTGGCCTGATTTGTAGGGAATGAAGAATGGGACAGGGCCTCTAGAGGGACAGAGACCTGCAGATGATCAGGGATGATGTGTCTCCTGGAGGAAAGCAGGTCAAGGGCCTGCAGGGTGACAGTAGACAATGACTGCATGACACCTGCCATAAGCAGCCAAAGACCACAACTGGCCAGAGAAAGGCACTCAGGCTGATGGACAACGGAAGCAGCATTGGCTGATGAGGTCGGGATTGACTGCGATCTGTTTGACCAGCATGACCTTAAGCTCCTATGAAAGAAGTAATGGATTTGTAGTCAGGGAAAGATGTGATCAGAGACACACCACGCCCAGTCGGATGATTCTAGAATGTTGGTACATCCATGGATCCTTATCTAAAAAAGGATGCCACCTCGTGCTGATAATCTGAGCCATCCTCAGGCATAAAAGTGACACAACCCTGCCTAATTAGAAAGGACGGTTTTTTGTAAGCGTGACAAGTCTCTCCCTACTCAGTGTGCGATCTCTCCACGTAGGTACTACAAGTCCGGTCTCCTATTGATGTGTTTCATCCTGCCCACACTGGTGCCCTGGTATTGCTGGGGTGAAACTTTCCTGAACAGCTTGTTTGTTAGCACCTTCTTGCGATACACTTTGGTGCTCAATGCCACCTGGCTGGTGAACAGCGCCGCCCACCTCTATGGATATCGTCCGTACGACAAGAACATTGAATCTCGAGAGAATATCCTGGTTTCCCTAGGTGCAGTGGGTAAGTCACTAATCCTCAGCATGACCATACATCGAGGGGCCTGTGGTTGGGGTATTTGTCTAGGAACCAGGGGAACCAGAATGACCTGTTTCATGAGTACTGTGTAGTTTTTCCACTATAAAACTGAGGGTTGGGAAGGAGTATATTTGGAAACCCTTATGAGAATTGGGCAAGCAACAACTTTTAATGTAAAATGGAACAAGCAAGGAGTAATTCTGCTTTTCCTTAAAGGTTGTAAAACAATTTCTAAATGTTGCCTATAATGAGCCTCTGAATTTCCCTCTTCTAGTCCCCTGGTAGGTTTGTGGCTCTTTGTAGCCCAGGATGTACATAAAGAACACCACAGTCACCCAGATAGCCCATTGCCTAGTGTTTCATACGTAGCCTTGCTGTGTACAATGTAAAAGAGCTGTAATTTAGTTCAACAATCTTCAGGTTACCACACTTGTATTTACCTCCCCACAGTGGCCCCTGCATTGCCATGTGGTGACGTCACCTGTGTGGCAGACTTGTTCCTGCCCCTCCCACCACCACCCCTTGTTCCTTTTCTCCTGGCTGTTCCATACTGAGGACTCCTCCTCAGTGTTCCTGATGAAGGAGAGTTTTGTGAGAAGTTCCTTGTGTGTGATCTGATGCTGACTGTTTCTGGATGAGTTCCTCTCTAATTCCAGTCCTGACGGCAGATCAGAGAAAGCAGTTCTGTCATCGCCCTTGTCCCAGTGACTGAAGCCTTAAGCTAGTCTTCCCTGTGAGGACCCAGTGCCCTCTTCTCTTCAGTGGCCAGAGCTATTGCTCATCTGTTGACAGCCTGCAGACCACTTTGCTCGCAGATCTATCACTAGTACTTTTAACCTTATTTAAAGCTTTCTCTCCACTCACCCCCCATTTCTTTTTGGGTTCTATGTATCTCCACCCTCCTCTTGGGCACCAGTTACAATTTGGTATGCTGCTACTTTGACCAATTTTAAAAAGAACCCTATGCTATCCAAATGTGATGTTTCCACAGAAAAGAGTAATCTAAACTGAGCCATGTGTGTCCTGTATTGCTCTACAGTGAGCCTTCCTTGTGACCATCAGTTCCAAATGGCTGCCAACGTCTCCCTTTGTTCAGGCGTTACTCACCACTCAAAACCCATTTGCGTCTTCCCATTGCTCTACACCAGCTCTTCCTATCACTCTCATCTTCTTGAGTTTCTTCCCTCAGGTCACATGCTGGTGCTCTCTGACCATTCCCTGGAGTGTTTCTGGGCTCTCTTGTGCCCCATTGATCTCTTTTTCTTTCCCTTGTCACTATGGGTTTCCGATGTCATGTAAAATGTCAAGACACGGATGCCTGGCAAGTACTCACTCAAAACATCCTTGTGAGAGTGACTAAAAACTAGCAATCTTTAAAAAAATTTTTTTTTCTTCTTGAAATTATATTTTTATTTTGTGTGAGGGTGGTTTGCCAGCCTGTATGGCTGCGCACCGTGTGCGTGCAGTGCCTGATGTGGCCAGAAGAGGGCGTTTGGAGCTTCTGGGTTCTGTATTACTGAAAATCTATTCAGAAAGAAGAGTCCTGACTACATCATCTCTGTAGAAGGCCTCCTGAGTCCAGATTTTTCCCCTTCGATCAAAATGTTATTCTCAGGAATGGTCAGAATCTTCTATCGAAGTATTTCTGTTTTCTCAGCACGTCCCTGACTCAGAGTCAGCAGTCCACTGTGAGCCAGAAGTCTGGGCTTGGGCGGAGGGTCTCTCGTCACTGTCTGGGCTTTCATTTTTTCCCCTTTTGGCAGCAGCTGCCCCTCCTGCTAGAACACATCCTATCCTCACAGAGATCAACAGCACGTGGGGAACGCGTCCTTACCTTTGAAGGAATATGCAGAACACACCCTATCCTCACAGAGGTCAACAGCACGTGGGAAGGTGTACTTACCTTTGGAGGAATGTGCCTGAAGGTCCCTTTTGTTTGCCTCCTTTTTCCCTCCTGAGCACACACACTCATCTACAGACTCTGGATCTTTTGGTGTTGTGATACTTTCATCATAAAACTGTCCCCACAGACCCAGCTTCTCTCCCATCGTATGATAGAAACTTGATTTGACAAAGGCTCCCAGACAGGTGTGTGTGAGCAGAGCCTGTCAGCTGATTTCCTGAGATACCTCCGGGTCATCTATTCTCTTTATAATACCGTGGGTTCATCTATTCTCAATAGCGGGGTTCTTCGAGGTTCGAGGTACCTTCTAGGTACGAGGTGTGCAAAGAGGCGGAGGCGGCAGCAATCACCGAGCCCCCTAACTGCTCTCGTTGCTTGTTTCCAGGCGAGGGCTTCCACAACTACCACCACGCCTTCCCCTATGACTACTCGGCCAGTGAGTACCGCTGGCACATCAACTTCACCACGTTCTTCATCGACTGCATGGCTGCCCTGGGCCTGGCTTATGACCGGAAGAGAGTGTCTAAGGCTGCTGTCTTGGCCAGGATTAAAAGAACTGGAGACGGGAGCCGTAAGAGTAGCTGAGTCTGGGGCTCCTGAGTTCCTGTTCTAAAAGCTATCTGGGCAGAGATTTAATATTCTGTTAACTGCAGGATAATGCTACCAGGATGCTAATGATGCATTTAACCTGTTTGGGTACAGTATTCTTTTAAGATGAGAAAGCTTTGGTCACATTTTGAGGTAATACACATTTTGATTAGCTAGGACTAACCATGCCACATTATATATACTTCTAAACATATATACAATAAATGCACATATAATTTCACGCATCAATTTAAATAGTAGCAATACATTTGAACATTCTATACAAAGAGTATTAAAAGCCAACAAACACGCTGTTTGAGGCTGAGGTGATGAGCACGGTATCCATTCCCTGTTTGTACTGCATCTTGCTTGGTTTCTTCTTTCTCCCGGGCAAACAGCTGGCCAGCCACAGGTCTGTGTCCACCTTCCAAAGCCTAGACGACTTTTCCAGTAGCTGAAATATTACTCCTTCCTCCTAGGTACTTCTTTCCTTGTTCTGAGGTCCCAGAGTGCTGCTGCCTCAAACTAGAAATATAACAAATATAACACATATAACACTTCCTGGAAGTGTTCCCTACCTGCCAACAACTTCATTACAGGCTTTGCTTGATGGGATGGGGAAATTTCCTTGATTTGATACATAGCAAGCAGATCGTCTGGAGACAAGAGTTGGCATACGTGGTATGGCTGGCAAGTAAGACTGGGAGACAAATAGGAAAAGGTGGCCTTCAGTGGCCTCCTTAGCAAAGACACTGGGCCCCTTTCTACAGCGTGCCTCCTTTCTGTCCATACTCTGACCCACAGAGCTTAGTGAGACGGGAGTAATGGAATCACATGTCTGAGGGGGAAGGGGATTGAGCATGGTCTGGTCTGTGCTGAGAAGGCAGACTGGCTTTTAGCAACATGAAGATTTCTTCATAGAAGTCATCTTCGTGTGAACTGATGGCTAAACAGCCTGTGGCGTTTTGAGGATATGGCACAAAACTGTGTAGCTATAAATAAATTCTTCACTTGGAACTTGAAAGTATTTCATTTTGAAAAATTGAAGGACAAGAGGAGTTATCTAGGTTGCCGATTTCTTTCGTGGCAGGACAGGAAGTGGAAAGCTTGAGGGTCAGCTTCTGTAGGTAGCTGCTAAGAGGTAGATTTCTAAATGAAGCCCTTGGGGAGCACACTGCCAGGAATCCGGAAGTGTTAGCTCCATCCGTTACTCTAATTTCGTCCTTCGATTGAGTAGAGACCGATTTCTCGTGGTGTTGAACCTTCCCTGCATTCTTCGCTTTGTGGCCACCCAGCCTACATCATGCTGCCCGGGAGGCTACTACCTACCCTGCTTTTGATTTCTTCTGCCAGTTCTCTGTTCTTTGGCATTTTCTTCTCTCCCTGGACAGGCATCGAGTTGCCTGAGTGTATTCAGAGCACTCTGGACTTGCTGTCTAGGCATGTTCCTGTCTCACAGATGCAGCGCTCATGGGCTCGGAACTGCTGTGTCACTTTATCGAGCAGAGCCAGGTGCCTCTCTTCTGTGCCCTCTAGATCCTCTCTCTCTACCTCTACCCCAAGTGCCTCTGCCACCGTGACTTCAGAAAAGCTTGGCAGTCCCTCTAGCAACATCCTAGGTTCAGAGATTGTCTGGTTGGTGAGTTAATAGCTCAGCCGAATGCTCACATTGTCTCAGTGAGGCAACTACTGACCAAGATGGTTCATTGTTGCCTCTGTGAGTCAGAGTAGACAGCACATTTGTTTTTCCTTGCACGCTTGGCAAGTGGCTCTGGCTGATTAATATAGGCAGGTGGTGGTACAAATGCTTGTGAGGTTCCCCATTTTATCCCTGTACAAACACCAGAAGCGTGGGCAATTGCCCAGGAAGAGGCCCTGCTTCCTGAAGCCAGGGTGTGATGCAAAGTTTGAACTGAAATGTGGTAGCTCAGGTGACACGAACTAACAAACATCCCCTATCACACAGCTGAGGGCAGATAATGGTACAGAAAAGCCTAGAAGAAAACATCACCTCAGTATTTTGGAACCATCACTCTCTCCTGTCCCTGTAGCCTGACCCAGAAGCCTGGCTTTGCCGTTAGGACTAGCTGTATACAATACCAAATGCTCTGTTCTCTTAGGATCAGATCAGAGTCTTCTGCCTGTGTTTAGTGAACACGAGCTGTTCGTTGAAGCAGATCTGTAGATCTGCTGACCTATATTCCTCTGACCTAACCCTCTGGAAATGCCATTGGGTGGTTTCTCTTTCCCAGGCCATCAGATCCCTGATTTATAACATGAACAGAAAAAAAAGAAAAAAAAAAAAGAAAGAAAGAAAGAAATCAGCCTTCTTTCTCTTCTAATCTTATTCCACGGATCTGATTCAGGCCATGTCACAACACAAGGCTACATAGAGACCTCAAGTTGAGGTCCCAGTGTCTGTGGGTGTTTAGATAGGGTGTGATGGAATGTTTCGGTAAGGGACGCTATTCTTCAGATCCTCTCAAAGGTGAATTTCTAACAGTTCCAACTTAATGTGCTAACAGCTTTGGGTGCCTTGCCTCTTTCCTAATCTTTAGTGCATGTGAGCCCAGCCTCCCTAACCCTAAAACCCTGAAGATGGAGTGGGTGTGAACAGGAGGCTTCCAGGGAGATCATCGACTCAGTGATTTGCAGAAATCTTTTACAGGCTTCATTTGGGAAAATATTTCTGTTAAGCGTGATCATGGCAGTGGCACTCAGGGGAGTGTTCTCCTTGGGTTGCGAGTCTCTGGGTGTATTCTCTGAAACTGTAGCTCAGGTGAGCTGGTGTGAAAGGCAAGCAAAGTAAAGCAGCCCATCTGCTGGTGGCTTAGCTGCTTTATAACAAACCTGCCCAGAGAGGAGGTCTTTAACGTCTTCGAATCCTGTGCCAAGCACCTGATGGTCTCACTTCCCAAACATCATGAAGTAAGTGTCCAGCACATCCCCCAGACTCTGGAGGACACCCTGAAAATATCACTCTTGGTCAAGTCCTTCTGATAAAATAGGCTAATACTCACCTACCTCAAGGGGCAGTTTTGAGGTGCCTAGAGCTTTTTTAATGAAGTATTTGGGGGTCCTCAGCACAGATTCTCATATAGACTTCTATAGAAGTAGTGTATGCCATGAGCTTCACACATCCATAAGTTCTAGACACTATCTTTAGTCTACATTGCTCTTCCCAGAAATTGACAGAACTCACAGGGGAAGTGGAGTATGACCAGTCAGAAAAAGAATGCCTATTCACTGTCATGAAAACGGTACAGGAAACCTTTTCCTTGCCTGAATAAGATGTTCTCCTTTTTATGTGGGTTAGTTATTTTATGTGGGATAGTTATTTGTGATCCATGCATAATTTTGGATGATTCCCATTTAACATAAACTCTGGAGTCTAATTGTACTAATTGAGATTGTATTTGTTCCTAATAAAAGCAGATCTGGCTGTGCTGTCTGGGAGCTTTTTGGCTGTGATGGTCATAATATCCATTTCCTGTGCACATGGTGCTAGGGATGGAACCCAGGGGTCTCCACATGTTGGGCAAGCACTATACAAATGAGACACACCTACAGCCTCTGTCTTGCACTTGTGTGAGAGAGACAAGTCTCGCTATGTAACCTTAGTTGGCCTTGGAAGTCGAAGAAATCTGCCTGCCTTTGGTGGGATTACAGAAAGGATTGAAATCAAGAGAAAAAATGAGAAATTACAAGGGTTGAGTCATACCCCAGTAACCTGCCTGCCCTTCCTAAGGGTAACTAGAGGTTAACCTCTGGCAGCAGGAAACCAGAGTCTACTGGCATTGAGTCAAACACAGCATCAGCTGACAACCAGCCTGGGGATGTGCCAGGTTTCCATATGTCACATGGCCAAGGAGACCTAGCATGCAGCTCCAGGAAGAGCTCTTCGCTCTCAGGCCTGAGAAGTCACACTCACTCCTCTTCCTGGAATGTCCTCTCCCCAGGAAACAGAAAGCTGAGTGCTGACTGGAGGAAAGCAAACAGCCCAGAGAGGCTCACAAGTCCCCAAGGAGAAAGGGCATCATGACCACAAGACAGGTGGTACAGGTTTTTGTCTCTATGTAGCCCTGGCTGGCCTGAAACTCACTCTGTAGAGCAGGCTGGATGGAGATCCACCTGCCTCTGCCTCCTGGCTGCTGGGAGTAAAGGCGTGCGCCACACCCAGCTGCTTTGCTATTTCTTAAACTTTCAGCTTTTAACACTTTGAGGGGGTGGGGAGGGGAAGGGCAGGCGTTTTAGAGTTTCTTTGAACTCCATATTCCAGCAGTCTCACTTCCGGGGCTTTTGGGAATTCTGCCAGCTCATTTTCCTGTCTGAAGTTGTTACCTAGAACAAGCAGCATGCTCCTGTGGAGACATTATAGAGTAGGAGTCTTGTGCAATTTTTTCTAGACAGTACCACGTGCACTACAATAGTTCAGAATGTCCTCAAGCTCCGTGTCTAGCTGAAACTGGCTTTGAACTCTTGATCTTGCCTCCACCTCCTGAATGCTGCTGGTATTAAAAATTACTGGCTGCGGGGCTGGAGAGATGGCTCAGAAGTTAAGAGCACTGACTGCTCTTCCAGAGGTCCTGAGTTCGATTCCCAGCAACCACAACCATCCGTTATGAGACCTGGTGCCCTCTTCTGGTGAGCAGATATACGTGGAAGCAAAATGTTGTATACACAATAAATAAATAAATTCTTAAAAAAAGAAATTACTGGCTGCTTTGAGCCAGCCATGGTGGCGCATACCTTTAATCCCAGCACTGGGGAGGCAGAGGCAGGTGGATCTCTTAAATTCAAGGCCAGCCTGGATTACAAAGCAAGTTCCAGGGCAGCCAGAGCTATTATATGGAGAAAACCTGTCTTTAAAAAACTGGGGGGCAGGCTGCTATTATACCTGGCTTTCTCACACTGGTTTTTTAAGTATCTAGAATCAAAGGTTTGTACACATTGAATTTTGCCAGACCTTAATAGTTTAAGTTGATGGTGAAAACATTTTCTTTATTATGTAGCATGTACATAGACAATAATATGTGTGTGTGTGTGTGTGTGTGTGTGTGTGTGTGTATTTGTTTAAATGACACCAGAATAACTTTTTTTCTGCCGGGCCTTGTCTACAGAGTGAGTGCCAGGACAGGCTCTAAAGCTACACAGAGAAACCCTATCTCAAAAAAAAAAAAAAAAAAAAAAAATCCAAAAAACCAAAAAACAAAAACCCCAAACTTTTCTTTTTCTTTCTTTCTTTTTCCAGGCTGGGTTTTGGTTTTGTTGTTGTTTTTAATTTCTTTCTTTAATGTATGAGTGTTCTATCTTACAAACAAAGACTGCATGTCAAAAGAGAGTATCAGATCCCATTATAGATATTATAGGTGGTTGTGAGTTCCCATGTGGTTTCTGGGAATTGAACTCAGGACCTCTGGAAGAAGAGCCAGTACTCTTTTTTTTTTTTTTTTTGGTTTTTTGAGACAGGGTTTCTCTGTGGCTTTGGAGGCTGTCCTGGCACTCGCTCTTGTAGACCAGGCTGGTCTCGAACTCACAGAGATCCGCCTGCCTCTGCCTCCCAAGTGCTGGGATTAAAGGCATGCGCCACCACCGCCCGGCTCATTTTTGTATAAAGTCGCACCAACATGACTGCCTAAATGTGATCTGGCCAACAACAGACATGGTAATATGGATGGGAGAAGCCAATGAGGCCCCAACTCTACACAAAGAACTTACTAGACAACAAAGGGATGCCGAGAGCAGGAGCAACTGTCTCCCAGGGAAGAGCACACCATGGTTATACAATACCAAATGGTCAGCCCTGAAAATAGACATACAAGTAACATCATACTAAGCAGGATATGTTTAGGAACATACATTACACGCATGTATGTATGAGAATGATTTGTTTAATGGGGAAAGGACCATCAATTTGAAAGGGAGCAAGCAGGGATATATGGGAGGGTTTGAAAGGAGAAAAGGGAAGGAAGAAATCATGTAATTACATTATAATCTCAAAAAGAAAATAAAAAAGCACTGGTTAAACTAGTTGATTAAGGGCAATACTCAACATCGATTTAATTACACAGTCTATATAGTCTCTAGATTCAAACTTTAAGGAAACAAGTAGGAGCCAAAAGGCAGCTGCTATATAAATTGTAGTCTTGCCACACCAGAGTACAGTAATTGTAGAATCTAGATAGCATGTGTTTGTTTGACTAGTTAAAAAGGGTTTGGGTCACTGTGCACAAATCTAACTTTCTGGAGAGTGAAGAAGCCAAGTTATGAGTCGACACACTGGAGGACGCGATAATGCTGAAAACATTGTGCCGTGGTCTAGATGGCACACCATCTCTGTATAACATGGGATAAAAGCCTAAATTTGATTTAGGTGGCAGAGTTCCCTGAGAGAGGAGAATGTGAATATAAATGTAATGGCTTGGCTAGAGACCACTGTCACCCTACCTCCTGGCTATTTTGGGTATGGAAGAGAGGACACAGCAGGCATGCCATTTCTCTTCCTCCTAAGAACCTGCTGGTGATACCCAGTTATTATACTGAGCCTGGAGGTGTGGCCCTCCTCCCTGGCTGGTAGTGGTGCAAAACTAAAATCCTACCTAGCCACCCAGCAGGAACTTCCCCAGGAATGAATGCAGCTCATTCTCCTTAACATTCAAGCACTTGGCAGTTTTAATTCCTTTGCTCCTGCACTCTTCAGTCAAGTTGTGAGACCCTCAAGATTACCTTCCCTAAATTGGCAGGGGTGGTGCACTTCTTTAATCCCAGCACTTGGGAGGCAGAGGCAGGCAGATATGTGAGTTCAAGGACAGCCTGGTCTCCAGAGTGAGTTCCAGGACAGCCAGGGCTACACAGAGAAACAATTTAAAAAGACTACTTTCTGTATTAGAAATGTGTCCTTGTCCCTACGACAGATAATACTGGATAAAATCATGCAAAGATTTCTCTCATCTTTTTTAAAATTCTAACCCTGCTACCAACTGTGGGAAATGTCACAAGGAAGGAAAGTACTGTTCTGTGACTTTTAGTTAACTTTCTATGTTATGGACAAAGTACTGATTCTTGAGCATTGACCTTGAGGCAAATGCCACAAGCCCTAATTACAGGCTGCGAAGACTCTATCCTGAGGTTCCTGGAGGCAGGACACTCCCCTTTTGATGATCCAGATCTGTCCTTCCCCACTGTCCTCCTGTCCAGCCACAGTAGGTGTGCTGTGTGTTCGGTGATCTGAATCTAAATGAGAACCTTCTCAGAGAAGTGAAGCAAACCATCTGTCTTGACCACGTCCCACCCAGGCTTTGAAAGGCCTGTGAGCAACTTGAGAAAATGAGGGGTGGGAGTGGAGAAGGCCACAGATGGCTCAAGCTTGCTCATGGCTCTATTCTTAGTCATTTCTGTAGAATCCAGACCAGAAAAGTCTCCCCTCTGATTCATATAGGTTCCCAGAACCGATGTAAAAGTCCCCTGGGGTAGCCTGCTGTGTCTGTTACCCCAGTGCTGGCATCTGGAGACATGTAGATCTTGGGGAGAGGGGACAGGGCAGCTTGTTGGCCAGCCAGTCAATGTGAAGATTCATATAGGTTCCCAGAACCGATGTAAAAGTCCCCTGGGGTAGCCTGCTGTGTCTGTTACCCCAGTGCTGGCATCTGGAGACATGTAGATCTTGGGGAGAGGGGACAGGGCAGTCAATGTGAAAAATGAATCCCAACTTCAGTGAAAGGCCTTGTCTCAAAAGCTTAAGGTGGAGAAGCAGTGGGGACATATGGATGTCAACCTCTGGCCTCCACACATGCCTGAAGCTACAAGCCCGCCTACACAGGCATGAACACAGGTGTGTGCGCACACACAGCCACCATTCGGTGACATGGTGCTTATTAACTCTAGCTCCAGAACATTCTAGGCTGCTCCACCGATTCATCCGCTGACTATTCGAGTTGCCGCCGTCTTTCGGTCAGTGGGAAAGGCCCTGCTGTAGACGTGTGTAAAAATTCTTAAGCACCCTGCAGATGTTTGCAGCTGATTGGGCACACAACTAGGAGTGGAGCTGCTCACCTACTACGCTTTCCCACAGCGGGGCCACCATTTTAAATGTTCACTACCCATGTTTGCGTGATACCCTTCATTCTGCATGCCTATTCGTGTGTCCCTTTCCTCCTCGGTCTTTCACAAAAGCCTGTCCCCACCGACTGCCGGCTCTTTGTCCCTGAAACACATGGGGAGAGAAGCTGCACTTTGAGTAACTTGTCTCTGCCAGCCAAAGCTTGCCTTTTCCACCAGGGATAGGGCAGTGTGAGGAGGTGCCACCTCATTGGGGTTAGTAGGGCACAAGGCCACTACAGCCATTCGTTAACCCCATAAACCACCTTCCCAGAGACGGGGCACTGCGACCCTCATGAAACTCCACGTGGAAGCCCAGGGCCTGAGTCGGGGGGGGGGGGGGGGGGGGGGCG